GATAATCTGGAAAGTCGCAGATATAATATTACTACCTTTAATCCTCGAATGACCCAAAGTCGCAGAACACTGATTATCAATAGGTTTCAGCCCACCATACTATCAAATACCATTCCATACTAACTAAATACTATCAAATACCATAACATACTAACTAAATACTATCAAATACCATTACATACTAACTAAATAGTTCAAAATACCACCAAATACTAACATATGCCATCCAGTACTAAATACTAACTAGTAATAAATAGTTCAAAATACCACCAAATGCTACCCAGTACTTTACATTACTACCCGGTATTACATAATACTATCCAGTACTACTCAATACCACCAAATACTAACTAAATACTGTCCAATACCACCAAATACCATCTAAATACTGCCCAATACCACCAAATACTATCCAGTACTACACACTACCACCAAATACTACCCAGTACTACCAACCAAGTATTGCAAAAAGTGATCGACATATCATTTCAAAAATTTCTATGATTTTATAAAACGATAGCATTGCCAAGGTTGCAATATACGTCCACATTCGTGCTTTGATTGATATGGTACTTTTTAAAATGAAGAGAATGATATGTGAAATGGCTGTGATATGACAAGAGGCAAAGAAGGCTAGGCGTTGGGTTTGTTTTGCCAAATTTTCAGACAAAATATTAACAAAAACGTGGGTGTGACACTGCCCCAGGGTGTCGGGCCATGCACCAAAATAAATAGTTGCTGTCTTTACGGTATACGGAATAAATATGCAAAGTTCCAAGATGATCCATTCAGGATTTCAGCCTGTAGACGATAAATACAAAAATTGGGCGTGGCTCTGGCCCTGGGGGTTGGATATGGAACAATATAAATATGTACCACCCTGTTATTGAAATGATTGATATGCTCAGTTTGAACAAAATCTGTTAATTATTGCAACCTGTAGAGTATTTACAGATAAAAACTAACAAAAAAGTGGTTGTGGTACCACAAACCTGGGGGCTCGGGACATGTACCAAAATAAATAGTTGCTATCCTTACAGTATAAGGAATAAATATGCCAAGTTCCAAGATAATCCATTTAGAATTCCAGCCAGTAGCCAAAAAACACAAAAATTGAGCGTGGCTCTGCCCCTCGGGGTTGGACATGAACCAACATATATAGGTACAACCCTATGCTGGATCATTCCGAATTGGATCCAAATCTGTATATCATTTATAGACAAAATATCAACAAAAAGTGGGTGTGGCAGGTGGTGGAGGCGCAGGGGGTTTAGAGGAGGGGTCGTGCATCAACATCAATACTTGCCGTCCTTAGAGTATAAGGAATAAGATAATTCATATTGAATTGTGACTTTCGGGCGCTAAAGGCAAAAATTGGGCGTGGCCCTACCCCTGGGGGTTGAGACATTCACCAAAATCATTAGTTGGCGCGATTAGATTATAAGGACTACATATGCCAAGTACCAAGCTGATCCATTCAGAATTGCGGCTTGTAAACGACAAACACAAAATTTGGGCGTGGCTCTGCCCCTGGAGTTCGGAACAAGCAGATGTCGTGGCCTGTAGGCAACACACACAGAAACAATCCTTAGGGTATAAGGAATAAGTACGCAAAGTTTCAAAAGGATCTATTAAAAATTGCGGCCTGTAGGCGAAACACAAGACACACAAACATTGGGCGTGGGTCTGTCCAAGGGGGTCGGGCGACACCCAGACAGTGGTACTGTCACTGGGGGTTGGGCATGCACCCAAAATGATAGGGGTGTTCCCTAGTGTGCAACGAATAAGTATGCAAAGCTTCAAGATGATACGTTAAGAAATACGGCCTATAGACGACAAACAAATACAAGAAATGGGCGTGGCTCTGTCCCTGGGGGGGGGGGGCATGCACCAAAAACAATAGGAATCATCCTTAGGGTATAAGGAACAAGTATGTAAATTTTCAAGATGATAACTTAAGAATTGTGGCCTGTAGACGACACACAGACACACAAAAAGAAAATAGGCGTGGCCCTGCCCCTGGTCGTCGGGCATGCGCCCCAAACGATAGAGATGTTCCTTAGGGTACAAAGAATAAGTATGGAAAGTTTCAAGATAATACGTTAAGAAATGAGGCCTGTAGACGACAGACAGGGGCGACGGCATAATACGTCCACAATATGAATAAAATGATTGGTAAGCGGCTTAATCAGGGTTGATTCTATACGGCGACATTCATTTGATAGCAGGTTTAATTTTGAAATTATATTCATTAAAGGGGTCTTTATAAGCTGATATTAATGTAATATGAGTCAATATGTTTTCAACCCTTTTAAAAATTGTTATTGTTATTTCAAATCAATTACGTTCGCTAAAAAAAAAAGCAACAGTCAAAATTTAACGAGAGTCATTTGCGCCTGGTTTATCCATTCTACACGTTTTTTAAATCATTTTGTCGATTGTGAATCAGCCATGTTTAGTATTACAGCGATGTCTTCTTGGATACATGTGTATGTTTTCTCTTCCCATCACGGCCCTCTTATTGTTACGATATATTACTTAATGTCTTGCTCTCGACCATTAAACAATACATAATGGTTTAGAGTGCCATTTAGACCATTAATTTATAAATATTACATAACCCGAGCCTAAATAATTGCCTTTTTAAGACCGTTGTAATATCGTCTATCGGTCGTATTTAACATAACCAATATCTAAATATACAATGTTTTTAAACATAGAAAGAGGATGTCTACGCTAACGAGTTATCAACCTTGCCTCTGATTATCAGGCCATTATCATCTTTACCAAAGTAATAACTTTCAGGTGTTCTCTATCGATCCCTGAAAATCTATTCGACAATATCGAAGGTTTTTTTTTTCGTTATTCATCAATAACGAAAAACAAGCTTCACACTATCAACATTATGGCAGTGTGAAGTTAGCTCAATTTTCGTTTTTCGATATTGGCGAATATCGATAAACGAGCTACTCGTGTTTTGATATTCAAACTTAAATCTCAAAAAAGCAGATTTGATGGACGTATATCTACAGAATACCTCAAAACGTTTTTATATCAATCCACTGCTCAGGCATCCTCATTTATGACATCTTTAGTTCGTTATAGAAAACTGATTTAATCAAATGTGTTTCGCATTCTGTAGATATACATCTATCAAATCTGCTTTTTTGAAATTCAAGTTTGAATATCGAAAAACGACATTCACTAATATCGAAAAAAAGAGATGGTTGTTTTTCATTATTCGTCATTTATCGAAAAGAGAGTAGCTCGGTTTTCGATATTCACCAATATCGAAAAACGAAAAACAAAAAGTTCACACTGCTCAACAGCCTAAACATAAAATACTTACTGTCACATTTTTATAGTCTGTCGAGTGAGATACATAAGGTGGTGTATCAGTGTCTCCAGTTGTTTCACATATATATTCACTAGTATCGTGACAGTCGGGATTATGTATGATAACCTGTAAGGCGTTGTTGGTTAGTTGTGGTCTTAAAGCCACATTTATTTCATATTTAGGTGCTGTTATTCCAATTCCACGTATAAACGACCCAGTCGAATCAAGTGTTGTAAACGCCACTAATGATGATGATCCCTTGGTCACTTTGTGTATCCCAATAGTGCTTAGTTCAGTATAATTTGAGTTAGCATCAGCTGAACACCGTAATGTTAAAGATGTAGCACCTGCCTGTAGATTCGGGGATGGTGTTATTGTAAGCTTAGCAGCATTGATATCTGAAAATATATAACAACTACTGTATTAGTAGGGGAGCTAACTGACCGTTGTCTCTAAACTCACGGACAAAATTGGCACTATGCCTAACGGAGGCACCATGATGGCCGATGATCAGAATGGGAATTCTTAAGTTTCACATCCCCTGGGGTTAATTCAAAATGGTAGAAAATTAGGCCTGGGGCCTTTCTTACATTTTGCCCTTTTAACAACACCAAACATGCATAAAATTCGGAACAAATGTTTTACATAATGATAATAAATATATTAGATGTGCTGTTTGATAAATGTGAAAATATTTACACTATGAGAGGTATGAATAGAATTATACATGAACAGTATTTGCTCGAAGATACGTATGAATACTTTTATACAAAATATATGTACATGGATCAACATGGAAGCTGATGATATAGATCTATATACAAAAGGGGGGTTAGGGTTAGGGGTTAGAGGGGCTGTAGGCCCCCGAAATCGCGGGAAAAGTCGATTTAATTCACATTTTTGCGGAAAAAGCTAATTTTCGCTATATATGTTCACGTTGCTAAGGCAAACTTTAAAAGTGCCCTTCAGAACAAAAAATCCCCTGGCTTCTGGCTTCAGAACGCACCCTATATATATAGTGACCCGAGTACGTAGATTTATTTCAAATATGACGGACAACTTTGATTCCTTTCTTAGCTGATAGGGTATGACCCCATAGTAAATAAAATACAACTTCAGAACAAATAATACCCTGGGTTCCTACTCCAGAACGGGTTACAAGCTGAACAAATCACAAAACCCCGGTAGAACTAGTAGAAGACTGATTTGTTTCAAGTATAGCGGACAAATTTCTTCTTTCGTGAGAATGGTGCCACAGTTGACCTATAAGTAAAAAATGCCCTACAGAAGAGAATATCATCTTGTTTCTGTACTTCAGAACGCTCCCCACTGACCCCGATAGAGAGGTTTATTTCAGATATGACGGACAACTTTTATTCGTGTTTCAGCTGACAGGGTATGGCCCCAAAGTAAATAAAATACCACTTCAGAAAACCCACTCCCGGCATAATCTCTCTAAAAGTGTCTTCATTATATTACTAAGTCCATATCTGGTGAATAACGAACAACAAACCAGCTCGTTGTTCCTTATTCGCGAATCATACACATCACATTACCTCCATTCAACCCATTATTTTCACATAAATCAACAGAGAATTACCCCCAATTAAATCTTTTGGGAATATTTTTTTCAAAATAAGCTGAGCATCAATAAACAAAATAATGACTTAGTATAGTTCTTTTATTACTAGAATATTACAGTTATTTTTATTATTATTACTATTAATTTTTATCCCATTCTAACAAAGGTTTGCCCGAGACGATTTACACCCTTCCCCCACCCTCCAAAAGAAAACATAATGCATGATGCAAAAACTTAAGGAGGCATTATGGAAGATTCGATAAAGAGCTGAGAGTTCTCACTATAATAGTTACAAACTAGATGAAATTCAATTTGAACAGAGATATTAGCGTTTTAATTTTAAAACCTAGCCTCGATCATCATTACTAAAGTCAGTACGATAAAAAAATATAGTCTCGATTATCCATTTTTGGATTTAATCATCAATGAGTGTTGAACAACAGATTCATCAATGAGTGTTGAACAACAGATCGGATTCAAATCCAGTAAATATCGCAGGCTAGCGATGCTATCTAGAGTTGATTATGGTCTGGATAAGTTAATTAATGTCTATTTAATAATTTAGATAACATTTCACACCTAAAGAAAGACCTGCAATAGGCAGATTTAGCTGTTTCATAATTTATGTTTAAAAAGATGAGGAATGTTGAGAGTAAAAGTAAAATATTTAATCTGACATGAATATATATGTAACTAACTACAACAGTTACAGTTTGGTCGTATTTTTAATATCAATTATATATTTGTATCTAATTACAACAACAGTTACAGCTTGTTGTATTCTTTGATATTTGTTGTTTCAGTTTTTCTTGTTCTAACTTGATCCGTTCTGTGTCGGCAAGTAGCATTCTTTTCTTGACGTCATCAACTGAAAAATAAGAAAAACGCAATAATTATTTAATGTTGTTTTATTTCAACAGTCTATCTCAATTTTTATTTTTTTAACAAACTATATTTGAACAAATTGTCGTGCATTTAAAATAATCGTTGACAAGTGGAATTTGAAACAAGAGTCGGTCGTAGCGACGTTGTCCTGTCAAAATATTAACAAAACATTGGGTATAGATAGCACTGCCCAAGGGAGTCGGATCATGCACCAAAATCAATAACTGCCGTCCTTGGGCTATAAGGAATTCTTGAGTGGGTTTCTATGGTCCAGACATCTAATTCATGGATTAGTCAAATTAAAAAGAATAACGTTGACGTAAAACGGTACCCATACAAAACACTTACCCACAAATGGTAATTGTTCGCCCTGATAGCTGACGTACCTATACTGTCTATATAAAAAGGGAGAGGTTAAATTTCCCTTTAGACACCGTTGTCGTCTCTTGAGGGACGTATAGCCGACTAGGCTCCACAGCTGGGTTTTAGATATCATTCAGAGGTCCTGTTTCACAAAAACTTAAATCTCCTTAAAATCGTCTTAAACTAAAATTCCGTCCTAACTTAAGATAGACGCGTTTCACAATACGATTTTAAGCATTTTAGATAAAATCCACTAAAATAATATTGTAAGTTAAAATTGTATCTTAACTTAAAAAAGTGGCGTTTCACAAAGCTATTTTAGGGACAATTTTAACTAAAATCAATTTTAACTTAGGACAGCCGTACTAACTTAAAATCACGACATTAACAAACATTGATTAGAGCTATGTTGTGGGATCCATTGCGACATATGGATATATTTGGAATAATGATAATATTGCCAATGGCCCGGATTGTATAATTTAAACATACTATCATTAACAAAAATAATGTTCATTCAATTTTTTTTCATTGCATGGGAAATTTATTGTAAGGCAATTTAAGCAATTAGATGACGCCCCAAATTACAACCCCAAGAACAAAAAAAACATCAAAACCCCAGTAAACAACTATTTTATATATTACCATGATTCAAGTATAAATTATACTATTTTCAAATAATTAATTAACCCAAAAAAAACGAGAGAGAGAGAGAGAGAGAGAGAGAGAGAGAGACTGACTAGAACATGGATAATTTTTTTTGAATAATTCGCTTGGACGGGCGACTGTCACGTAGATACGCCATTTGCAAAGTAGGCTATTTATGGCTTTTGGGTTATGATGATTTATATAGGAGCCAAGGGTATTTTATATTGGGAAAAAAATCATTTTAATTTAGTAAGATAGATAGGAATTATCCAATAAGGAGTGTGGCACTTTGGCATTTTCAAATTATTTTTGAAAGGGTCCATGGGACTGACATTTCAAATCTAGGCATCGCCGGAACATTGCTTATTTCGTGTATTAGTTTAAAAGTTCTTAAATTATGAAACGCATAAAATTTAAAATTTCAGTTTGATTTTAGTTAAAATCTATTTTAATGATTTTAGTTTAAGTTTTTGTGAAACAGGGCCCGGAGGTCCTGGGGAAGACATCATAGGGGGTTTCTTAAAAGGCACTCTAAAGGCCTTCTCGACTTTGAGGCTTGGATAGAGACAACATATTGTGTTTCAGCAGTTGGGTCTGAGTTCTAGTCTTGTTCAACTCAGACTGTAGATATTATACTAACTGAAAAAGTACTATCATAGATGTTGTAGTTTCCTGTATTTCATATATAAACATAGTTATAACAACACAGTATTCTCGAGTTACTTGATCATTGAAGTTTTATACACAAGTCCTGAAAGTCCTGATTAGAGAAGTGTCTATGTGTTTTAGTACCGTGACAAAGGATAATCACGATGTAACCATGCATGCAGTGTCACATTAAGGATTGTGGGCTGTAGGCGACACAAACACACATCAACAATTGTCGAGCATCAACAATCACAGTGGTTATCCTTGGGGTATAAAGAATACGTATGCAAAGTTTCAAGACAATCCATTAAGGATTCCGCCTTGTAGGGGACACACAGACACATACATACATACATATATAAATACATACGGACAGACACACAGACACGGTAGACGGCATAATACCTCCACATTATGAATGTGGACGTATAAAAACCATCAACTAATGACAGCGTGTAAACACACCACGTCATCACCATCAACTAATGACAGCGTGTAAACATTCCACGTTATCACCATCAACTAATGACAGCGTGTAAACACATCACATCATCACCATCAATCAGGGCCGTAACTAGCTCAGAACAAAGAGGGGGGGGGGGAAGTTCTCAGGGCTGCTGTAACATTGACGGACAATGTATATCTGTTTGTTTTTATGGTCGGCAATTTTTTACAGGGTGGGGGGGGGGGCGAAACAACTTTTTGCAGTGGGGGTGGGGGGTCATCACCATCAACTAATGGCAGCGCTAAACAACTTTTTGCAGGGGGGGGGGGGGCATCACGTCATGGCAGCGCGTAAACATACCGCGTCATCACCATCAACTAATGACAGCGTGTAAACACACCACGTCATCACCATCAACTAATGGCAGCGTGTAACGTACCACGTCATCACCATCAACTAATGGCAGCGTCAAATACACCACGTCATCACCATCAACTAATGACATCAAGTAAACACACCACGTGATCTAAATTGATAATAACAAGAGATACCACGTCTTTATGAAAGAGTAAATATAATAATTTCTTGCACTGTAATATTTACTTACGTGTTAAGTGGATAGTCTTAATGGCACTTAAAAGTTCTGAGTTATTAACCATACATCTGATTTTCAGTCCATCATCCTCCATACCAACGTGATGCTCCAATGTACTTCCAGTATTATACCCACATTGTGTTGATGTTTGTGGATCAACCTCCGTTGTTCTTGCATTTTCTGTCATTACGGCAGGTGAAAAAATATGTTCAGATGGGAATTCTTCTATTTGCATAAGCTCCCTGGTTGAATCAGTAGGTGGCATGGCTTCCCATGTCCAGATTGATTCAGAATTTTCAACACCTGTTTGACAGGTAATCTCAATCTTTTCACCAACATCATACTTCATCTTTGCAGGATATATCTTCATTTCTACCGTACCAGGATTACCTATAAAATATTATAACACATGACACACTTATATGGAATACAAGTTACTTAAAGAGTTTATTACAGCGACGTTTCGACGAGGGTTCTCTAGTCTTTATCAGGCAAAGAATGACAACCATAGTGCAATGAGGATATATATATACAAAATATGGAAGAAAGACAAACATCTATATACAATCACAGATAATCATTTACAAACCATCAAAGGGGTGGGAAGCCATAAGGGTGGGTCTAGTGAACTATGTACAAAGATAACATGATAATAAAGACAGCTAGATTGGGCGGTGACTATGCTTGCACTGAACGGACCCACTAAAAGACCATATAGAGAAGCCATATTGTGAAATAACATGAGATTATCCGGTATTAAATCAACGAGGCATTTAAAAAAGTTAAATACACGGTTTTAAAAATTAGATATACAAAATATTGCCTTAAAAAAATCAGATTTATCAATATATTTAAGAATTTTTAAAAATTAATTGAGAAACAAAGTGGAAATTAAAAAAAAAACATATGAAAACTATAACATATAAAGGATATACAAAAATATTTGGGTAAAATTTGTTAAGATTGTCACACAGAGCGTGGAAATACTATAGGGTCTATACTGTAGAGTTTACCTAAGTTCTGTAAATATGCTCTGGTTAATGTATTGAAGTCGTTAGCTAGTACCAGTGACAACAAGAACTAGGCTAACAAGACTACGTCTGGTATTGTACAATCGAGCTGTATATGTATATCCCAAAGATAGCCACACAGGGCGTGGAAATACGCCCTAACACACCAGCTTTGTCTCAACTGCAGCTTATGGAAAAGGAAAACTTGGATGTAGAGAAAATTTGATAATCTGGAAAGTCGCAGCTATAATATTCCTACCTTTAATCCTCGCATGACCCCAAGTCGCAGAACACTGATTATCAATAGGGTTCATCCAATCATACTATCAAATACCATTCCATACTAACTAAATACTATCAAATACCATTACATACTAACTAAATACTATCAAATACCATTACATACTAACTAAATACTATCAAATACTAACTAAATAATATCAAATACCAGTCCACACTAACTAAATACTATCATCAAATACCATAACATACTAACTAAATACTAACAAAAACCATTCCATACTTACTAAATACTATCAAATACCATTCCATACTAACTAAATACTATCAAATACCAAAATATTAACAAAAAAATGGGTGTGACACTGCCCCAGGGGGTCGGGGCATGCACCAAAAAAAATAGTTGCTGTCTTTACGGTATAAGGAATAAATATGCAAAGTTCCAAGATGATCTTTTCAGAATTGCAGCCTGTAGACGATAAATACAAAAATTGGGCGTGGCTCTGGCCCTGGGGGTTGGATATGGAACAATATAAATATGTACCACCCTGTTATTGAAATGATTGATATGCTCAGTTTGAACAAAATCTGTTAATTATTGCAACCTGTAGAGTATTTACAGATAAAAACTAACAAAAAAGTGGTTGTGGTACCACAAACCTGGGGGCTCGGGACATGTACCAAAATAAATAGTTGCTATCCTTACAGTATAAGGAATAAATACGCCAAGTTCCAAGATAATCCATTTAGAATTCCAACCAGTAGCCATAAAACACAAAAATTGGGCGTGGCTCTGCCCCTCGGGGTTAGACATGAACCAACATATATAGGTACAACCCTATACTCTATCATTCCGAATTGGATCCAAATCTGTTAATAATTGCAACCTGTATATCGTTTATAGACAAAATATCAACAAAAAGTGTGGCAGGGGGTGGAGGCGCAGGGGCTTTGGAGGAGGGGTCGTGCATCAACATCAATAGTTGCCGTCCTTAGAGTATAAGGAATAAGTATACCAAGATAATTCGTATTGAATTGTGACTTTCTGGCGCTAAAGACAAAACTTGGGCGTGGCCCTGCCCCTGGGGGCCGGGACATTCACCAAAATCATTAGTTGGCGCGATTAGATTATAAGGACTACATATGCCAAGCACCAAGTTGATCCATTCAGAATTGCGGCTTGTAAACGACAAACACAAAAATTGGGCGTGGCTCTGCCCCTGGGGTTCGGAACAAGCAGATGTCGTCCTTAGGCTATAAGGAATACATGTACTAAGTTCAAAGACAATCCATTAAGAATCGTGGCCTGTAGGCAACACACACAGACACACAGAAACAATCCTTAGGGTATAAGGAATAAGTATGCAAAGATTCAAAAGGATCTATTAAAAATTGCGGCCTGTAGGCGAAACACAAGACACACAAACATTTGGCGTGGCTCTGTCCAAGGGGCTCGGGCGACACCCAGATACACAAAAAGAAAATTTGCGTGGTACTGTCACTGGGGGTTGGGCATGCACCCTAAACGATAGGGGTGTTCCCTAGTGTGCAACGAATAAGTATGCAAAGCTTCAAGATGATACGTTAAGAAATGCGGCCTATAGACGACAAACAAATACAGGAAATGGGCGTGGCTCTGTCCCTGGGGGTTGGGCATGCACCAAAAACAATAGGGATCATCTATAGGTATAAGGAACAAGTATGTAAATTTCCAAGATGATCCGAACTCACTTAAGAATTGTGGCCTGTAGACGACACACAGACACACAAAAAGAAAATGGGCGTGGCTCTGCCCCTGGTGGTCGGGAATGCGCCCCAAACGTTATGGATGTTCCTTAGGGTACAAAGAATGAGTATGCAAAGTTTCAAGATAATACGTTAAGAAATGCGGCCTGTAGACGACAAACAAACAAATACAAGAAATGGGCGACGGCATAATACGTCCACATTATGAATAAAATGATTGGTAAGCGGCTTAATCAGGGTTGATTCTATAAGACGACATTCATTTGATAGCAGGTGTAATTTTGAAATTATATTCATTAAAGGGATCTTTATAAGCTCATATTAATGTAATATGAGTCTATATGTTTACAACCTTTTTAAAAATTGTTATTGTAATTTCAAATCAATTACGTTTGCTGAAAAAAAAGCAACAGTCAAAATTTAACGATAGTCATTTGCGCCTGGTTAATCCATACTACACGTTTTTTAAATCATTTTGTCGATTGTGAATCAGCCATGTTTATTATTACCACGATATCTTCTTGGACACATGTGTATGTTTTCTCTTCCCATCACAAATGGCACTCGAAACCATTATGTATTGTTTAATGGCCGAGAGCGAGACATTAAAGTTACAATTTCATATTTCTAAGTTTGCAAATTTTCAAGTTATATTTTTAAAATGTATTAAAATAAAGCCCTAAAATAGATGGTATCTATAAACAGTCCTACCTTGTTAAAGAATAATCCTATTAATCCTATAATTTACTATTGCCAGTTGAGAAATTGGCTAAAATATCATTTTCAACTTTAAATTCAAACGTTTGAAGATAGCTATTCCATGGTGGGGAATAGTAAAACAAGGGAGGTAACTGGGAGGTAATTGTGTTATTATTTCCGGTGTGAAGATTTTTAAGTGTGAGAAAGATAACCTATGATCGTATAATAGTGTGTTGGCAACCTATTGAGCAAAAGACATAAAAAATAATTATGTTTTGACTTTCTTAGAAAATATGAAATTGTAACTTTAAGTAATATATTGTAACAACAAGAGGGCCGTGAGGCCCGTGTGTTTTTACAATATATTACGCAATGTCTTAGCTCGAGGCCATTAATCAACTTAAAATACAAACACTTGCACGTGCTTTGCAATGAAATACGTCACTCGGGTTCAATATTCTAAATAGTTACACTTGGCACATTGCCCATACGATTATTTGAAATAAATATGGTACGCCAACATCAAAGGATGACGTCACATCTGTATTTTAAATCTGATATGAGGATCCCATATTGTTACGGTAAGATATTAACATCAATATTGAGTGAAATGGACTAAAATTGAATTCTAATTCGAATATTATGGATAATGTTGAGCTAGAGTTTTATCTCCTTTAACATAGTGATTTTAAAATGCTGATATGAGGATCCCATATTGTCACGGTAAGGTAATAACATCAATATTGATTGAAATGGTCCACAATTGAGTTAGAGGTTTATCTCCTTTAACATTAATCTAAACGTGACTATTTATAGATATTATAAGTAGTATCTTATATTGTTACATGTCGATATACAACCCGTATATTATCCTTAATTCTCATTCAATCTATATATACTATTCAAAAAAAGTAGGGGATATTTGATTTTTAAGTGTTATTAAAGTCACCTAAGAAACTGACGAAGAAACAAATGACAAAATGAAATGAAGTTCACATTCATCGATTTATTCCAAATGATCGTTAGACTAAGTAAGGCACAGACTGACCATTATAAGGGTAAAATGATACCCGGGGTCAAACAGCAAAGTTACCACAGCATCACAACCAAGTCAGTAACGGGTAAATCCTCCTCTGTTTGCCAAACAAGCATTGATCCGACGTGGCATACTCCTAATGAGACGTCTAAGGTCATTTTGGTCCAGATTGTCCCATTCATGTTGCAACGCAGCAGCAAGTTCTTGGACATTGGCAGGACGTTGTTGACGTTGACGTAACCTCTGTCCAAGCATGTCCCAGACATGCTCGATGGGGGAGAGGTCGGGACTCAGTGCTGGCCAAGGTAATGTGGTGATGTTCTGTTGTTGGAGGTAACCTGTAACGATCCTGGCCCTGTGACATCTTGCGTTGTCATCCTGGAAGATGAAACGGCGGCCATGACGTCGTGCGAACGGCACAACATGGACTGCCAAGATGTTGTCCCGGTAGTACTGGCCTGTAACACGCCCTGCAACAACATGTAAAGCCGTTCTTCCAGCAACAGTGATGCCTCCCCACACCATAACAGAACAACCCCCAAATCGATCATGTCTGATGACGTTAACGTCTTGGAAGCGCTCGTTTCGACGACGCCACACCCTCCTACGTCTGTTCAAAAAATCAACAGTGAACCTTGACATATCTGAAAACATCACATTGCTCCAGCGTCGATTATCCCAGTGTTGACGATCCCTACACCAACGACGTCTTGCCTGAATGTGATGATCTCTCAAACAAGGGATCACGCGAGGACGTCGGGCGCGAAGGTGACCCCTATGCAGTCGATTCCGAATCGTCTGGCCACTCACTCTCACACCAGTGTCTGTTTGAAGACGAGCGCTGATCTGATTTGCTGTGATGACACGATTTCTCAAGGCCAAGGTACGGATAAATCGATCCTGGGCTTGAGTTGTCGCCCTTGGTCGACCTGAGCGTGGTCTGTCCTGTACAGATTGTGTATCACGGTATCTGGACCATAGCCTGCTTATGACAGACTGAGAAACATTCATCGTCCGCGCCACAACCGCCTGTGTTGTGCCGATCTGTAGCATGCCAAGGGCACGTAACCTTTCATTTTGGGTAAGCCGACGCATATCAAAATTTGTTTTCTGGTCACTAAAACAATTAAACTGATGTTTCCACCCTGGAATTCAATGCCACAATGACTGTAACATTCAAAGTCAGAGTCGTGCAAATCTTGGGTTGGACCCCCATGATGATCCCAAGCATCACCTGCATTCCATGCGGTAGCTATTGGTGCGTTTGGGCGTCACATGTAACTGAAAATGTTTCTTCTGTTAGGTTCTATAGTGACTTTTTTCGTAGTCATTTGCATATTTTAGTATTATGCCCCCAAAATCAAATATCCCCTACTTTTTTTGAATAGTACAGTCTTGTCAGTGGTTTTATAAATAGTTTACACAGTCCAAGTTCCAAGTCATTGTAGTTCTAACTTGCTTTTTGATATTACCCCACTTTATCAAAATGTCAGTTACCCCTATAAATCATAAACGAACGACAGTCGTGCGGAACGAATTAAAATGAAATAAAATTCGGTTTAACTTGTCAAGACGGCCTTGTGTAATGCAGACGAAGTGGAACGAACTAGTGAATAAACTTATTCTTGGTCATTGAAGGTTGGTAACTGAAGACAGGCCTTCTTTTCTAGTTTTTTAAATTATAAATAGATTAATGTTCTGATTAATGAAACTTACGTACAAATATTACAATTCTATTGCGTCTCTAGTTCGAGCAGAAATGAAATGGTGTTTAACGCCCTACTGTTCTGCTCCTATACTGGGCTAATAAAGACGCCATCGCCATACAGTGTGCTATGAGGGAAATTTTGCGAGGGCAGCGGCACTATCGCCTACTCTTATATCGAATTCCAACTGCCAGGGGATCTTTTACGTGCATTCCAATATATACACGGGACATCGGTTTTGCGTATCATCCGAAGGAGTAGACAGCTGTCCTTTGTCAGGCCCTCCGTTCTGCACCACTGACAAGGGGAAACCACGTCGGAAAATCTGGATGAACTTTCTCGGCCAATGCAGGGATCGAACACCCGACCTCCAGGCTAGCGAGCCACCGTCTTAACCACCTAGCCACCGTGGCTCCCTAGTTCGAGCAAAGATAATATACTCTTCAAAAAAAGTAGGGGATATTGAAATGCATATACCTATGCAGGTTGCGAGCCAGCAAAGATAATATATTCTTCAAAAAAAGTAGGGGATATTGAAATGCATATACCTATGCAGGTTGTGATATGATAAATAGTCATGGACACTTGACATGCTTTGAGAATATGTTCACAGATGAAGAACTTATCGCCCAACAGAACCACTGAGTTGCATGTGCGACGCGCAATAGTGCCATACACGTGGGAGGGGTTCATTGTCAAATTTGACACTTCAAGGAAAGGTTGATGAAAACTGCTGCTTGCTGGTTTATCCTATTCATGTTTGCTTTCCTATCGGTTCTTGCATAAGATTTACTGTTTAGCGTATCTTTACTTTAGTGTGTTACGTTTAACGTGTTCGTCGACGTCAACGTCAACCGACAACACTGCAAGAATTGTCCTTGGCACTGCAAGAGGAGTGGGTCAGATTGCCCCAAATCGTAATTGGACGGTTGATTAGGAGCATGCCACGACGAACTGGTGAATGTCTGAGGATTGGTGGAGCAATTACTCATTATTAAGACAAAATCAAAAACGTCCATTTTCACTTTTGACGGTGTATCTCTTTGCGAATGAAATGGGACCGTCAGATAAGCCGCCCCTATGAACTGTTTATGTTCATGTGTAGGCAATTGGCCTGTTATAAACATACACTGGTTACCTCTAATAAAAACAGCAGTGCATTTCCGCAGTTTTGTATTGTTTCTGAATTTCCCCGACTTGTTTTGAAGAGTATATATAAAAGGAAATTTACAAATATCTTCGCAACATGATACGGATATCTTTAAAAACCCACTCCCATCTTTCTGTAGTCGTGCGGGTGGGGAATATTGGGAGTTTATTACAGACAATGTGCGTTTAGAATTTTTAGACTATTAATTTTCTAAATATTACATAACCTGAGCTGAAATAATTGCCTTTTTTTAAGACCGTTGTAATATCGTCTAAAAATTACATTGTCGGTCGTATTTAACATAACCAATATCTAAACATGTAATATTGCAAGGGGTATTCTCTATTCGACAATATCGAAATTTATCAATAACGAAAAACAAGCTAACTTCACACTATCAACATTATACACATAAAATACTTACTTTGAACTGTCACATTTTTATAGTCTGTCGACTGAGATACATAAGGTGGTGTATCAGTGTCTCCAGTTGTTTCACATATATATTCACTAGTATCGTGACAGTCGGGATTATGTATGATAACCTGTATGGCGTTGTTGGTTAATTGTGGTCTTAAAGCCACATTTATTTCATATTTAGGTGCTGTTATTCCATTTCCACGTATAAACGACCCAGTCGAATCTAGTGTTGTAAACGCCACTAATGATGATGATCCCTTGGTCACTTTGTTTATCCCAATAGCGCTTAGTTCAGTATAATTTGAGTTAGCATCAGCTGAACACCGTAATGTTAAAGATGTAGCACCTGTCTGTAGATTCGGGGATGGTGTTATTGTAAGCTTAGCAGCCTTGATATCTGAAAATATATATCAACTACTGTATTAGTAGGGGAGCTAACTGACCGTTGTCTCTAAACTCACGGACAAAATTGGCACTATGCCTAACGGAGGCACCATGATGGCCGATGATCAGAATGGGAATTCTTAAGTTTCACATCCCCTGGGGTTAATTCAAAATGGTAGAAAATTAGGCCTGGGGCCTTTCTTACATTTTGCCCTTTTAACAACACCAAACATGCATAAAATTCGGAACAAATGTTTTACATAATGATAATAAATATATTAGATGTGCTGTTTGATAAATGTGAAAATATTTACACTATGAGAGGTATGAATAGAATTATACATGAACAGTATTTGCTCGAAGATACGTATGAATACTTTTATACAAAATATATGTACATGGATCAACATGGAAGCTGATGATATAGATCTATATACAAAAGGGGGGTTAGGGGTTAGGGATAGGGTTTGGGCTGTAGGCCCTCGAAATCGCGGGAAAAGTCGATTTAATTCAAATTTTTGCGGAAAAAGCTAATTTTCGCTATATATGTTCACGTTGCTAAGGCAAACTTTAAAAGTGCCCTTCATAACAAAAAATCACCTGGCTTCTGGCTTCAGAACGCCCCCTATATATATAGTGACCTGAGTACGTAGATTTATTTCAAATATGACGGACAACTTTGATTCCTTTCTTAGCTGATAGGGTATGACCCCACAGTAAATAAAATACAACTTCAGAACAAATAATTCCCTGGGTTCCTACTCCAGAACGGGTTACAAGCTGAACAAATCACAAAATCCCGGTAGAACTAGTAGAAGACTGATTTGTTTCAAGTATAGCGGACAAATTTCTTCTTTCGTGAGAATGGTGCCACAGTTGACCTATAAGTAAAAAATGCCCTTCAGAAGAGAATATCATCTTGTTTCTGTACTTCAGAACGCTCCCCACTGACCCCGATAGAGAGGTTTATTTCAGATATGACGGACAACTTTTATTCGTGTTTCAGCTGACAGGGTATGGCCCCTAAGTAAATAAAATACCACTTCAGAAAACCCACTCCCAGCATAATCTCTCTAAAAGTGTCTTCATTATATTACTAATTCCATATCTGGTGAATAAGGAACAACAAACCAGCTCGTTGTTCCTTATTCGCGAATAACGAACAACAAACTGGCTCGTTGTTCCTTATTCGCGAATAACGAACAACAAACTGGCTCGTTGTTCGTTATTCGCGAATACCGAACAACGAACAACAAACTAACTTCACGTCGCCGCAGAAAAGTAGGACGTTAAACCTCATTTTATTTGATGGAACTAATTAAACAATAAACCTATGGATGTAATCTTACCTTGAATTACAGCAGTATATATCAGTGCCAATAACAAAATACGTTTCCCGTCCATTATGTTGTATAATATCCACTGTTACACCTGTTGTTCTATAGTTTGTATGGTATATATGATTTATTTCTGTATGTACGTCATATAATATATTTATTTTATATAATACACGTTTATGCGCAGTTACAGCTGTTGTTATATAGCTTATATAGCACAATGTACGCCTTGCATGACCGGCATTATATGCATATTATAAAGCCCCCATCACACCAAACAACTTCTTTAAAACACCCTATACCCAATCCTAGAAAGTCGTAAAAAGAGTTGTGATCGGGGTAGAATCTGTAAATACATGTAGTGTCTATAATATGACCCCAGTTCGTTCATAAACAGTCCACACTATGTCTATCTTGTCTGTACTAGTCAAAATAAATGATATGCAAAGAAAAAAACGGAATAAATAAACAACGACTAACTTACTGATGCTCGACCACGGTAACGTTTAACACGTTTCTAGTATTTCCGTTCATAGTACGACAATTCCGTTCATAGTTCGTCCATCTCGTTTTAAGTACGCTGTCCCTCCGTCTAATTGCAGAACGGAGGAAATTGTGAACAAGTTCAAAGTTCTAGGGCACCCTGCCACTCTACAAAGTTCCTAAACAGGTCGTAAACAGTTGCTACTACGTTCACTCTGATCGCACACAGTTTCAGCCGTTTGGCGACATTTTCTAGAACGTAGTGAGAACTAGTTTGGTGTGATGGGAGCTTGATTAGCAGAGCAGGCAGCGTGAAGGTCTCTATCTACAGTTAAAAAGCTTCAATGATCTTGTATAAATATATTTACTAGTTTGTTCCGCTTCGTCTGCATTAGACAAGTCAGTATAGAAACGTTACATCCCATTTTATTTAATTTTAATTCATTCCGCACGATCTCCAACATTTTGCTTCGAACTCTCTGGACTTGTTATCCTGGTGTTATAAGATTTCCAAAAATGTATAGTTTGTTTAGTAGGGAGGATCTTGTAGCGGAATTGTGTTTCTAAGCAAGCTAGAAATTTTGGCTGCAGGCCTAAGAGTAGTGTTAATAGTTTTATATATCAGTTCAGTCTCAAAATACATCAATTGTACCGTAGATATATACGATGGACTTAATTTTTATGCGAATACTAAATGTATTAAACTGACTCTTCTTGTTCAATAGTTAACAGGTTTAAGATAAAAAATGAAAATATCAATTTTAGATCAAATTCTAGATGGAGATCAAACAGGTTTCAGAAATTGTCAGGTTTGGTGGTATCCTTAATTCCCTGAGGTTTAACGTCCACTCGACACAAACTAGGTCATTTCAGGACTAACACATGGTTCAATTTTATTTCAATAATTCGCTTGCGCGTAGGGGTCTTTAGCAGTGGGAGGAAACCGGGGGAACCGGAGAAAACCCACGAGGCTGGACAGGTGACCCTACTCCTTGTCACGTACAACTGGGGAATCGAAACCCATAACCAAAGTGTAAATTGCATCAATGAAATTGAATCACAATGTTCGTATTAATTCATAACACAAATTGACGTGAAGCGGGGTGTTGGATTCTCTCTTTATAAAGCCAAGTGTGTATGTATGCCTACGTAATTTAGAGACGATAGTATGTTTTAATGTAAAATTCCAGTATCTGTGTTTTGTCAAAGTGAGCTCTAGTTACCCCAGATACACGCCAAAATGACGATAGAGACCATGTTATTTCTCAAAGGGGGGGGGGGGGATTTCTTTTGAAAAAACTGACTGTTATAAAGGGCGCTTTCTCGAGTATATCCTGGTGTTTTTTTAGCTTATGCATATATCTTAACCATTCATGAAAAACGACGTAAAATCATGACTATCAATTCGTTTAGGGGCCCCTGAAACTACCATAGGCTACTCATCTTTAGTCTGTCCATGAAAAAGGAAAGGATGTTAAACGTGTTTCAAATTCCCGCATTACTTGATTACTTTAAACATACACTATGCGAGAGCTTAATCTGCCTATTGCAGGTCTTTCTTTAGGCATGAAATGTTATATAAACTATTAATTAGACATTTATTAACAAAACAAGACCATAATAGACTCTCGATGGCATCGGATACTAGAGATTTTAACTAGATTAAAACGGTTCGCCATTTAAAAATTGAATTTACAAATGGGAAAACGAGGCTAAGTCCCGATTATCCCAGTGCCCTGGTTACCACTGTGCACACATCTTGTCAAAACTACAAACAATGATAACTTGACCTAGAATGAAGTAATTTGAATGAAATTTTCAATATTTTCTTTTTTCATCATCTATTTTTGAAGTATTATAGCAAGAATGACCAACTCTTTATCAAACTCTTAACTGATGTATCTTTAATTTCAGTAAAATACGCCATATAAAATGATAATTCGTATATTATTTTACAGTTACATAAAAAAGAATGTTTTAGTTTTATCCAATGAACAATTTATTGTTAGCTCGTGTAGAAAGATATAGTGTTCAAACGTTTTCCGTATTACATTTCTGGTCACTTGTTGCAAATGACGCTAAAACGCACTATGGTACACGATTCGTGTACCAATGGTAAAATATTTATTTTGTCTTAAATATTGGATATCAGAAGCCTGCCTTTTCCTGGTAAGATCACAACATCAATGTTGATTTGAATTGACAAATAATTCGTATTTTCAACGTGTAAGACTTTGGATGATATTGAGTTAGAGACTTAGCTACTTTAAGTTAAGAATTTACTCAACTTTCAATCACGTTTATAAGAAATATCTTTGATTCAGAAACACAAAACTGTGCACATAGTTTCTTATTGATGTATTTGATACAGTAAAACAGCAAAAGTTTTATGAAAGGCTATTTTAGTTAAAATAAATCCAACAATTTTGGGTAAATTCTTAACTTAAGTCTGAGAATATTTTGTGAATATAAGACATATTGCAAGCCATATACAACGGAAGAAAATGACGATTAATTAAAAATCTGCTATTTATGACTTTATTTTAGCGGCCATTTTGGATTTCGAAATTAATTTTTTGAGATAAGAATTCAACCAAATGACATCTAAAACCACGTGAAAGACATGTTACAAGTCGTATCCAAAAAGGAAAAAAAAAAGATTAATTTAAATCCGCCATTTTGGATTCCATTTTGGCAGCCATTTTGAATTTCTACCATGATGGATTTTCAAAATTCATTTTTAAATCCAGAGACATCGAACACCATATAAAAGACATAGTAAAAGTCATATCTTACGAGATAGTGACTGATTATATACGGGAACAATGCCATGTTATTACCAATTGGCTAGGTGGGTAATTAAGGCGCAGGCTCGCTAGCCTGGAGGTTGTGTGTTCGATCCCTGCATTGGCCGAAAAGGTTCACCCAGATTTACCCGCGTGGTCCCCCCTCGGCAGTGATGCAGGACGGAGGGCCTGACAAGACGAAAAACTGAGGTCCCGTGTACACATTGGCGTGCACGTAAAAGATCTCTTGACAGTTGGAATTCGATATAAGAGTAGGCCGTAGTGCCGCTGTCCGGGCAAAATTTCCCTCATAGCACACTGTATAGCGTATGCCCGTCTTCATTAGCCCAGTTCGGAGCAAGACAGTATGACGTTAAACCCCATTTCATTTCATTTCATTTACCAATTTCGGCAGCCATTTTGAAAAATGTGAAAGAAATTTTCTAAAATTGGTATGGTCAAATTTGTTATTACCGGAACATTTCGCCTCTATTACCACTTTGTATTGTACGATTTTAATAAAAAATAAAAATCTATTTATTGTCCCACCACTGAAACGCACTAGTTAAAGATATCACTCTCAGAAACTTCCTTGAGACCGCCATATTGAATTATGTTAATTACGTCATTTCGCCTTGGCAGACTTTGGCCGAATTTGAGTATGATGTGGTCTAATATAAGTATGATTGAACCAAACTGCATTGGTTTCTTTTGTAATTTGTTTGGGGTCACACCACATTTGAGCGTTTGGTTCTTTATAAGATATGTAGAATGTATTATTGACTACAGTGTCCTGTATCTTTATAAGATATGTAGAATGTATTATTGACTACAGTGTCCTGTATCGTTATAAGATATGTAGAATGTATTATTGACTACAGTGTCCTGTATCGTTACAAGATATGTAGAATGTATTATTGACTACAGTGTCCTGTATCGTTATAAGATATGTAGAATGTATTATTGACTACAGTGTCCTGTATCGTTATAAGATATGTAGAATGTATTATTGACTACAGTGTCCTGTATCGTTATAAGATATGTAGAATTTGTAATTGACTACTATATCTTTATGCAAGACCTGGTTGTTGACGATATTGAACAAACTTATCACTTCGCATGGTAGCATTTAATTCAAACTTATCACTTCGCATGGTAGCATTTAATTCAAGCGAATTATATCGCATTTGCTCATACATTTTCCAGTAGGCCATCACAAATTAACAGTAGAAATATCGCATTGGGTCAGAAATAAACCAGTAACAACTGTTGGATTTATCTATTTTATTGTAAACGTGTCCTAAATTCGATCACCTAGGCCCATTTAAACCAACCGGAGTTTGATTTTTTGATTTTTTAATAAATGGGCCTGTTTGATCAAGTCTAAAGTAAGATACCCACAGTTCCATGCATCACATGCAAGAACTCGCTGCAACAGACCGTTTCATCAGCTTATCCTTCACAACCAGATCGTAGTGTATAGTCTGGAGGCTCAGCGCGGGGGGTGGGGGGTGTTCATCAAATGGGCACAAAACCAGACCCAACTTTTCTAGAGTAAACTTTTGCGTAGAATACGATGCCGAGTGGTAATCAGTCCGCCGTTGGGTCGTTTTCGAGATATTCGGGGTCAAGGATCAAATGGGTTCATTTGCACTGAAAGTGAATGCACGGCCATTCTTGTATCATGAAAATAAGCTGAAAATGATCGAAAGTAATCACATTTTCCGTTTTAGCACTAGGAAGATTTAAAGTAATAAATGTCGGCGTAAAATATAAAAACTAAAGCGAAACCGGTTCTAATTAATAATAGGAACATTTAAAATTTATTTTTAGGTGGTCTTAGCAGCAAACTTTTACTTTGGAACGTCGAAAATGATCTTGTATAACAGAACCAAAACGCT